TTCTGTTCCCTCGCAGATTTATGGGTGGAAGGGGCCGCTTTAATCCTCTAGTCTGGACTCCAGCATACCACAATCCACAAAACTTTGCCCTGTAATTTGTACATGAAGTCCAGACTCCCTTACCTTGGGGGGTCTTTAACAGAAGGCTGGATGGGCATCTGTCTGGGGTCATCTGACCCCCAGCACTCTTTTTTCCTGCCTACGCAGGGGGGGGGGCTGGACTGGATGATCTGATGAAGTCCCTTCCGACCCTAGCATCTATGAGTGTATTACAGCTATTCGAGCTGCATAGTGCACATCTATCAGAAAGGAGATGTGGGTCCTAACATCCTTAAGATACACTGTGACTGTAGCCTACTGCACAAGGGACACTGAACACTCACGTCAGATAAAGGCGACTTCCATTTACTAACATCTTAAGCTGAAACTGGAACCATTAGCTAAAAGCAAATAACTCTGCATCCAGTTACCCCCAGCCTGGAGCCACATAGGTTTACAAAACCTTCACTACAACCCACAGAGAATAATTATTCTACCAGGCCAGAGCCCAAGTCGGCTATTCCTCCCTAATGGCTCCGTGAATGCTGGGAGTTGTTTTGCTTTCAGTGCTGGTGAACAAAGCCATCAAGAAACATCTATCAAAGAGGACAGAATCATAAGCAAGTGCTATGGCTCCGTGCATTAAATTTTCATTGAAGCTAACGTATGTGCATTTATACACAAATTAGGCACAATTCTCTTGCGCTGCCCCAAGTACCAACCTAGTTCCTGGCAGTACGGCTGGCCTCCAGTTGCAAACAGTTTGGATCCAGATGTCAGACCCTCCAGAACATGGGGGTGTTTGGGGATTTGCGTACTTGTTTGCAGCTGGGCCCTGCTGTTTTATCAGAGCTACTCTGAATTTGGACTCTAAATATACCCAAGGGTCAGGGCTGCTGGGATGCAGCGGGCTGGACTAGGCCCACCTCCTTTGAGCACCACCAGAGCTCTGAACAGACCATTTTTCCCCTTTCTGTCTCTTCCCAGAAGTTCTCTAATCCCCGAGAGGATTTTTGGACCATAACATTCCTTGTAAATGAGCCCCACAGCCAGCTGACAGGGGAATGCGGTAGGAAGAGAGAGGTTTCCCCCACTCACCAAGGGACTTTATTGCTGGTTTGAGGAAGTGAAATGTGAACGCTTCCATTCCCAGACGCCTTCACCTGTTCCCCCAGCTGTGAGAGTTGCATGGGCCCATTCATCACTGTTGCATATTTGCTCATACACCTCTTAACATACTGGAGGCAAAAGGAGGTGCTTTTGGGAGGGGGCTAGAGAAAAAAAAAAAAAAATAGGCCTGCAATATGCACAAGTTTGGTAAGCAATGAAGGCTGACTTGGGAGCTTGTACTGAGATTGATGCTCAGGCCTTTTGGACTGCCTACCAGGCCTCCTTGGATCACTTCTTAGCCAGACAACATGAAACAAGCCAATGTGCAAGTGGGAAATCCTCCTTGCTGCTCCAGAAACATCCAGAGATGGCACTGCCAGCTTAAGTCACACATTTGCGAGCTGGCTCCTCCGTGTCCCATTCTTCCACACCAAGCTAGGAGACACAAGGAACAGGGCTGCAATGTGCCCACATAGGTAGGAACCTGCAAAGGGGAGCAACTGGGAGCGTGAGGCCAAGCCATAGCACAAATCTTAGCAGTGCTGCCTACTCAGCATGCGCCTGGTACCCACCAGGAACTGTTCTCAGCCATGACCATTTAGACAGCTTGATAGTTAGAGCCAGAAAGCATCTTCCTCAGCTGCCTGCTACTGGGGCCTGCAGAAGTGGCAGCAACAGGGGAGCAATAACCCATCCAATGCCAGAGACAGCTGCAGCTGACAGTAATGCAGCCACAAGATCACCAAGCAAGCCCTCTCCTTCCTGCCTGACCCACAGGCAGCCCCTGCAAAGTGCTGGCATTGCTCGCCTTCCCCATAGAGAAGTGCAGAATTCCCCACCTCTCCACACTAGTTTTTATTTCTCAAAAAAAAAAAAAAAAAAAAAAA